TCGAAATGAAGGTCCCCCTAACAATGTTATCTCAGGAGATTCATCGAAACCAAGTTTCTCTTTGTATTTTTGAGGCTAACTTTCTACTTTTCATCCTAAAAGATAATGAACAGAACTCAAAGTGACTATCGCTCGTGCTTCGATTGGGTCCACTTTTTAGACATAACTGCTTCCTATCACTCAGATCCGGCATACAAAGCTCACCAATTCACATGTGACATGAACTAACAGAAACATTGAAAGCTTCATGCCACTAGCCTGAATTGGCTGCCAGAATTGTTCCCTTGTCTACATTTTTCTGCTGATCGGCATGAAAGGTGAAACCTCAAGACGATTTTACTACTTTCTTTAACAATTGTATGATTAATTAATTAATTAACTTTGCCTCCATCTTTATCAAACTATCAACTCACCATTTCAATTTAACTCTTCCCTTGGCTTTGCACAGCAACTGCAGTGCTTGGGCAAAGGGAGAAAAGCCCAACCGGATGCAAACAGTCGCTTCGGAATGACTCTTCCAGACGCCAACGTGTCCTTAAAGTCTTCTCCGTCTACGGCGTGTTCTGGGCGGTCGGCGGTCGCTATGCGGGTCGGATTCATGCTCGTCACAAGTAAGCAATCCGGAGATGAGTCCTCTCGACAGACGACCGGCTCTGTAAGAGCCGAGCCACACTCTCGAGTCGGGAGCCTCCGGTGCTCTTATGCCTGAGGAGGGCATTCTTTGCCTCTTCAGGAGCCCCGTTTGGGTCGTTCCAACTCGAGTTGCGAGTGCTTAGCGCCAGCTTCTACAAGACGGTCTCTCTTTTCGTCTCATTCAAGAGATCTGTCAAGGCAGAATTGTACGCAAGTCACCCTCAAAAGGCATTGTTGGTGTGCAAATCGGTCACTTTCAGGTGCACTTTTGCGAAAAGATACCACTCCAGAGCCTTGTTCTCTCTGGCAGTATATTCTGCTTTCTCGGGTTATTTGCTGTCGACTGGGAGCCCATAGGCCCATGACTCGAGTCCCGTCGAGCCGACGACGCTGCGAGGTTGAAGCGGCAGTTGAGGCAGGAGAAGAACGGCCCTTTGAGATGCAGCAAAGGGCGGATCTCGAGTGTTCGCTTAAATTGACGACCCATCGACAATATGTCGAATTAGTCGGTTCTGAGACGGTTCGGTAGCTCTTGACTAAGCACCAGCTACGCTTGGGCCGCCTTGAGAGGAGCATGAAGAGACGTTTACGAATGAGCGAACGCATTGTTCTCAGTTGATTGTCGGTATTTCAATTAGTCCTCCATAAATCACTTTGAACGAGGCAAAGTGGCAACAATCGGAATTGTGGTAGCTGGTGCGGGCGAAAAGTTAACGGAATGGTTGAACAAAAGCATCATGTAGCTCAAACATCAGTTCTAAACTCACCTGAAACGACCTCGGCTGAATAGGCTTTTATCCAATGACTAATGAGTATATACAGCAAGTTACTCAAATCGAAACTGAATTTCAATTAGTTTTGCCGCGAAAAATGCTTTCTCATCCCGTCTGGACTGTATTAGATCTGCCATCTCTCCAGGGTCTCATCAGCACCCCAGACTCAACTACACAGACACATGTGCCAAGAGGTCAGAAAGTTGATGTGACATTCGAAGCAGGTCAGTTGACAACTTGTTGTTATGGGCTTTGCAAAAAATACTTCATTCACAATCTGCGACTGGAGAGTATTCACTTGCTTAGAGAGCTTGAAATAAAAGAAATGCGAAAGAATCATTCTCGATGCAGGCTATAGCAAAGCGGGTTGATTGAAGGAGGCCGAATGCCTCCAAGTGTGGTCTCCTTACATACTACTCAGCAAAATTTAACAGTAATATCTCTCCACTTCTTTTCATTAGTGCTACAAAAATGACGTTTAACCCTTCTCGATTGCATTACCATGTCACACTATGATACTAAATGACACTTTGGTTGCCCGGGTCCCCTTTGTTGGTGGAAACCTGGGTTTCGAAGAGTCCCTTTAAGATTGTGTGAGACTTGATTTGGTCATTTGAAGGCGAAGCTGGTCAGAATAGATTCGTGAATTCTATGCGGAGAAAAGTTGGGTTGTTTCATAAGTGTTGAGCTTATTTTCATTTCGAGTGAAGGTGTTGAGTTAAGAGGCGCGAAGGTCGTTTCCACCAGAAGACGACGGCGGATTCCTCGTGACCAGTTGTAGTTTGGCTTTACCGGAACATTCATGTTGACGCTGTTGCCGAGGTAACCTCCTCCGATTCCGATGAACAGGTGCAATGTTTTCGTCCGTCATGTGACGAACATCATCAGAGCAAAGAGGGTGTCATCGTCACAACCAAATTCAAGCAAACGAGTCAAGAAAACTCACCGAAACATCCCTAAAAAGTGGAATATCTACTCTAAATCTGGCCTCTTTAATCAAGTATAAAGTGATTTGGTTAGAAACGGTTATATGTCAACTTCGATGCCTGTGAGTGTGTCTGTTTTTGTATGTGTATGTGCTTGTGATAGCAGATATACGTTTGCTTCATCGACAATTCCACCAAAAGAATATGATATCGCAAAAAAAGGCCTAGCCTTCCTTGAAATTAACATCTTTCCTGTGAACCAAGGCACACATGGCAATGTGATCGAGCGGTTAACATGTCATTCTCCCATTCTAAACTGTCATGGTTCGACTCCCGCTGAGGGTGTTTATAAGACCGATGCGAGGTCGAAACTGCAGTCCATTTAGTCGGGATGAGAATAACTTTTGTGAAAGCAAGGCCATGTGAAATTGAATGGAAACGTCAGCTCAACTCATATGATTGTGTGAAAATTCTTCTTCTACCAGTTCTTCATCACGTCAAACGAAATTAGGTGAATACATCTCATACTACTGATTTACTGGTAGTCACGAAAACAAAAGTTAATTCTAAAAATATGTGAAATCGAATGGAAACGTCAGTTCAACTCATATGATTGTGGGAAAATTTTTCTTCTACCAGTCCTTCATCAGCTCGAATGAAATTGGGTGAATACAGAACATTTTACACCCTTTTCCGTGTTGCGGCATAAGTTCACTTGTAAATGCATTTTGTTCACAATTATATGACTTGAACATTCATTTCCATTAATTGTGGTGTAGTGGTTCACGGGTCCAGATCATGTGCTGCATTGTCATGTTTCGAGTCCTAGGCGTGATCTAAGCCCCAATCTAGTTCTTCTTTGATGACAATACATTTTTGGCACACAAGGCTGTAAGAAACTTGATCAAAATGTTTCATATATTCATATAATTATGAGAAAAATGCAACTAACAGTCACTTGCTCACCTTACATGAAATGTGTTGAATACATTTCATATTAAAATGCTCGTCTGGTAGCCTTGGCAACCAAGCTCTAAAGGAAATATTGCCAAGCCTTTCCAACCGGGCCAAATAAGAGCTGGCCAAGAGATGTAGGCTTCCGTCTTCTCGTGGCATGTACCAACAAGGTTCCGCATCGCGCATGGATTCACTGAAAATTGAGGTTAAGCTGACTCGCCATGAGGGTGACATCTGCCCAGCGACCAACTGGCAGCAGTGGTTTCGGGTCGGTACGATGCGCGTGAACAGATTCCCAGTTGCTAGCCGGCTTGTGAGGAGCTGACGAGGCGAGCTCAAAGTGGAATGGAGCATTTGTCAGCTTCACGTTTCTGAGGCATTCTTGAAGAGCCGGACACTTTTCTCTGCTTCATGCTCAGATTCGAAGGTCTCTTTCGCCGTCTGCTCAGCGAAGAGTTGGCCCATCACCTCCCGGCGCCGCTGGTCGTGCCGCAGCTGCTCCCGTTCGGCCGGCCGACCGGATTAGAGACCAAGTCCCCCGCGACGACAATCGGTGCGTCTAGCGATGACGACTGCGGACCCGACGGACATGAGTGCAGAGGCCGGGACTCGACTCCGGTCGACGAGCTCTACAGTCGGTTGGCGAGGAGCCGAGGTTGGGACGAGGCTGGCGAGAGTGACGAGGGTGAGGAGGCGGCGAGTCTGTTCGATTGCATCGTCGATGCGGACCGGGCTCGACTGGTACCCTTTTGGCTGCGCCCGACCGGACCGCTTGGCAACCTCGACTGGCCCGAGGAGCAGGCGAGTCTATTGCCTCGACTACACCGTCTGATGGGAGCCTGGAAGGGACACTTTTTGCCGACACCTTATCATGTGGGTACACGCATTAGTCTCTCTTCCTACTCCTTCTCCTCCCCCTTTTCCTACTTCTCCTCCTCCTCCTCCTCCTCCTCCTCCTTGTCCTCCACCTAATCCTCCTTCATCTCCTTCTCCTTTTTCTTCTATTCCTCCTCTTCCTTTTCAACTTCCTTCTCCTCCTTCTGCTTCTCTTACTCCTCCTCCTCATCCTCTTTCTTCTGCTCCTCATACTCTTTCTCCTCTT